TCCCCTGGAACTGTAAGTCAAAATAAACCTTTCTCCCTTAAGTTACATTTGTCAGAGTATTTCATTCCAGCCAACAGGAAAATAAACTAAGAAAAATGAAAATCTACAAGACAATGAAGGAGTAGGGTTAGAAGTCAGTGGCAAAGCACTTGTCTATGACATAGAGGTCCTGGTTTCAATCTCTAGAGTCATACAGACATGGAGTGAAAGAAGATGGGAATGGAGAGAGGGGAGGAAAGAGAGAGGGAAGGAGAAGAGAGTGGGGAGAAGAAGAGATGACAATGAAACACCACACTCACTAGGACATATTTGTCTTTTATTTTATTTCTATGTGTATGCATGTATTGCCTGCCTGTAGGTAAGTGCACCTGTGTTATGCAGTGCCCACAGAGGACAGAAGAGACGGTTGGATCCCCTGGAACTGGAGTTACAGACAGCTATTAGCTGCCATGTAGGTGCTGGGATTCAAACCCGGGTCTTCTGCAAGAACAGTCAGTGTTCTTAACCACTGAGCCATTTCTCCAGCTCCCATATTTAATTTTTTTAATTACATAATAAGTGTTTTTAAGTAAGTGCAGAAATTACAAAGTTCATATACTATTATGAGACTTCAAAAAGATGCTGATAAAAAACAGGTTACCATCTCCTAAGATGTTAATCATGGAATAACCATGTGACCAAGAAATTCTATTCCTGGGTATTTATACTCTAAAAATTACAGAAATGTCCTCACAAAAACTAAGTATTTATAGTGGCATCACTCATAATAGCCAAAAATTATAATCAACAGAGACTTATCAGCTGATGGAAGAGAGAGGCAAAATGTACTACTTGACCATAAATAAAAACAAACTACTAGGAATCTGGCACTCCAGCAGCCCAAGTTGCACGTTCCTGCCTAGCACTGCCAAACTTTCTCTAACTTCCAGACTGCAGGGTTCCACTGTGGCTCTAGCACCAAGTTATGCTGACATCAAAGCCAAACAAGCACCACCTTAGGTTAAAGATATTGAATAGAGCAGATGGTAGGTTAGAAGCTGCCTTCATGAGACATGAGATACAATATATGGGAAGAGTCATGGCAACAAAAGATAGAATAATCCCGAGACAGACAGGAAGAACACCAGAAAGCACAAGAAGCAATAGAACACCCGAAAAGTCTGAAGAAAAATAAGAGATACACAGTGACAAGAAAGCACAAGTCTGAGCTTCCTGGAAAGATCAGGGGAAGCACAAGTCAGGTGACCCTCTTGAAAAGAGACCAGCAGTCCTACCCACAGGACAAGCTCACAATTCTGACAGGCCTTAGGGGACAGTGACTGTTCCTGCCTGACAGTTTACTAATGGAGAAATCTACTGCATCACTCCGAGGATCTCAGAGGGCTGTGAGCCAGATGCCTTCAAGAGAAGAAAGAGGTCTAAAGTTTAAGAATGAGCCACTGGGTGGGAGACTGAAAACAGAACAATCACATGAGGGGGCCTGAGTTTTTGGTGTTCTATATGTATCTATATATCTTTAAGTATCTATATATCTATAAATGGGTGTATCTTTCCTTATTTGGAAACCTTCTCTTCAGTGATTTTGTTCAAATTCTGGTCTATCTCACTGACCCATCATTAATATTATTTTATACCTTCAATTTGTAGATTGGGTCTTTCCATGGTGTCCCAAAGTTCCTACTTGCTTGCTTGCTTCCTCCCTCCCTCCCTTTGCATATTCTTGACTGAGTGTTCCAATTCCTTTATCTTCAAGTCCTGAAATTCTATCTTTTACTCGATTCATTCTACTCAGGCTTTCCCCTAAGTTTTCTAATTGGGTTATTGAGGTTTTCAATCCCACTTTCATCTCAATTTTTTTCAGTACTTCTCTTTGCTGAACTCAGTTTTCAAATTTTGAACTGTTATCATGATTTCAGTCATCATCTGAATATTTGTTTTTGGACTTTCCTCAGGGTTTATCCCTATCCTCTTTGAGTTCAAAGAGGTGTTTCCTCTTCCTTAAACTCTTTAAGACTTTGATCATGTGTTTGACTATTTTTTTAAATTCTGTGTCATGGGGTTCATTAGGTAACCCTCACTGTAGAACATTTCTACAAGATTAGGGGGTTTGGGGAAGAGCCTTTTGTCTTGGCTTTTCATATTGTTTCTGGTTTTGTGATAGGACCCTAAGCATGTGGACTTCTATCACTGCTTGTTGTGTCTTATACATCTAGCCTGCCTCTGTTGAGTGAAAGTTTGCTTTTGTTTGTTTTTGCTGCTGTCCAGGCTTGGTTGATTTCAGATCAGGTATGAAGAGTCAATCCTTCAGATACTACTGATTTTTGATTGGAGGGATGGGGGAGTTTTCAATTTGGTGGTCACCAAGAAAGTATGCAAATGTAACTTCTGGCTGGGTTTGCCTAGGGTAGTGAGCAAGCTGCATTTCTTGAGTCAAATCTGGGGCAAGTAGGCCAGGATCTGTGACACTCACAAGACTGGGCTAGGACACAGGCTTCACAACCCAGCTAGGCCTGGAAGTATGGGGTTGGTGCAGGCAGACAGGTGAGATTCTAGGTAATTCACCAGGCTGGCCGGTACATGAGCTATGTGACCCAAGCTAGGCCAGGCAATGTGAGAGTGGTACTATCAGGAAAAGTTCTTCCACAATTTATCCTGTGACTGTCAAATGTGCACCGTAGCATGCACATACTCCCACAACCGAAATAAATGTAATAAAATGTTTATTTCAATGAAAAACATTTTTTTTTAAGGCCTATCCAGTCAAGTTTGTGTCCCTAAATGTTCTTCAGTGTGCACCCATTCATTGGAGCCTGGTTAACCTATCTAACATCATACCCCTGAAAGAAACTGATTCTCCCTCTGCCCATCATAATCTTACAGTAGTTATCCCCATAGTTTCTCAGCTAAAATTGGGGATTCTTCCCCACTTCCCCACTTCTATGCTGGGATTTTGTCTGGCTTGAGTTGTGGTATCATTTTTTAACATGGCAGGTGTCCTCAGGTAGGAATAAAATGAATTTATAAATAATTTCTGAAACAAATAGCATGCTAATGGGAGAAAAGTTAAGTTGTATCACTATTTCATACTAAACTCAAAATATAATCTGGGCCAAGGTGTGGTGGTGTACACCTTTAATGCCAGCACTAAGGAGGCAGACGGAGGGGATCTCTGTGAGATCAAGGCCAGTCTGACCTACAGAACAAGTTCCAGGCCAGCTGTGGCTACAGGGAGACCGTTTCAAAATCAAAAAATAGCAACTGTGTGTGTGTGTGTGTGTGTGCCTATGTATTACAGCCTATGTATTACAAACTTGAAAAGAAACAAAATTTCTAGAGAAAAAGAGTTATTTATGAAGAGAACCAAGCAGGTCTTTCGCCAGCATAAAGAAGAAAAAAGAAAATTCCAAACTCTGGAAACCAAGATGAACGCTTTCTGTTGGGTCTTAAAAGCTGTCCATCAGGACTAGAGTACTGCTCAGTGGTAGAGCAGTTGCCAAATATGTATTAGGGCCTGGGGAAGGAGGGAGGAAAGAAGGAAAGAGGGATCAGCTGGTATTACAAAAGAATACTTGGATCTGGGGAGATGGCTCAGTCTATAAAGTGCTTGGCCTACAAGCATGAGAACTAGGGTTTGAACACATTAAAAAAAAAAAAAAAAAAAATCCAGATGTGGTAGCACACACTTGTAATCCTAGGCAGGGGAGGCAAAGACAGGTTAGCCAGCCTAGCCTTCTTGTTAAGCTCCAAGCCACCTGTCTCAAAAAAGAATGGATGATTTCTGAGGTTGTCTCGGACACACACACACACACACACACACACACACACACGTCAATTTGAGAAAAATGGCAAAACATTTAAAGATCCAGTATGCATTTATCAACATTTTGGGGAAATAAGTGAAAAACAGAAATAACCTTAGAATTAAAAAATTTAAAAACTGGCTGGTCACAGTGGCACACGCCTTTTATCCTGGCACTCAGGAGGTAGAGGCAGGCCGATGTCTATGATTTCAAAGCCAACCTGGTTTACATAGTGAGTTCCAAGTCAGCTGGGGCTACAGGGAGACTTTGTCTTAAAAAAAAAACAAAATATAAAAAAAATTTTAAAACTTTAGAATGTTGACACCACCAAGCAAATAAGACACTAGGACTACACACTGTTTCAAAGCAGTGGTCAAAGCAAAGGTTGGCATAGTTCCCAGCACAAAGAACACTTCATTAAAACTACTGCAGACTTGAACAGAAGGGAGCAAGCTTTCACAGCTTGTTCATAGCACAGCCTTTTCCAGAGCTCAGGGCTCACAGTCTCCACTATTCCACAACATGGAGATGACATCTGTGCTTTCATTCACAGGATTCATTAAGAAGATGATATAAGAAATGAAAATAGGGCTGGGCATGGTGGCACACGCCTTTAATCCCAGCACTTGGGAGGCAGAGGCAGGCGGATCTCTGTGAGTTCAAGGCCAGCCTGGTCTCATAGTGAGTTCCAGCTGGGGATACAGGGAGACCCTGTCTCAAAAAGATGGAAAACAAAGAATCGAACTTTGGGAACTGCTGGTTTCTAGAAGGAAGAAAAATAAATGAAGACAACAAAGAGGCAAGTGTTATGCACAGGGAAAAAAAAGTCCTGCATCATAGATTAAAGGGTATTTTTCAAGAAAGAAGCAGACCCAGCTGTATTAAATGCACACATTTTATAGCCAGTACTGTTCTGATCCCGCACACTGCTGAGACAATGCAGAGAGAGGCTATTTTCTTTAAACTTACCCTCTTACAGGGATTTATGTACATATGTCACTCAAAGCAGTGGTTACTAAAAAGTATTTAATCTTTAACAAATTTTATCCCTATGAAATACTAGAAATCTTGTCACTATAGTAATTGAGCTGAGCAAAAATTAGCACGAGATGAAAACTGAAGCAAAAACAGGCAACTAAGAAAAAACTAATCATTTACATGTATTAAGATAGCCAAAGGGCATGAAACACCAGATTTTACCTTAAATCGCTTGTCCTGCAAAACTTTCTTGATGGCAACCAGTTCTCCTGAATCACAAAGTTTGGCTTGATATACCACACCAAATGATCCATTTCCAATCACTTTAGTGTCTGTGTAACTGACTTCTTGGGGCCTGTCTGGACCCTGTCCAGGAGTTGCCACCACTGTGGTTACCTTGCTGCCATCTTTATCTCCTAAAGGAAGAAAAATTTAAAACAAAAATGAGTACTGTACAGAAGTATAACAAGAAAACTGTCAACACATGAAATAAACTATGTTCTGTATTTAAATATTCATCGCTTCATAAAGTTTAACACGCAAAAGTAAGGAGATACCACTATGTCTACTATGCAAATGAAAAATAACTCAGATTAGCTTTTATGAAACATGAAAATAACTCTGTCCTGTGTTGCTTCTCCTTGGCTTTATGATCTTCTCACTGCTACTCAAAGACTCACTTCATATGTTTTTTTCCAAATCCAAAAAAGGATAGTTCTAATAACAATCTGTAAAGGACCGGTTCCAGAGCAACAGGCAGTGCTGAAGTGTAGAACAATGTTTTAAAGTTTTCAGGCCCTGACTTTTTGTCCCTTATTGGTTACTGGCAGAGGCAGGTGGATCTCTGAGTTTGAGTCCAGCCTGGTCTACATAGAGTACCAGGTCAGCTGGAGCTACAGGGAGACCCTGTCTCAAAAAAAAAAAAAAAAAAAGATACTTCCAAAATAGGTTAACAACATTAGGATTTAAAACATATACCTCCCCCAAAAGTGTATAAAGATTAAAAAGCTGAAACACTTGATTCTGTGATATCCAAACAATTTAACATGTGCTATTAAAAGATTATTTGGGACAACAGAACACCACTGACAGACAAAAACCAAAATCTTCACATACATACACATACACACACACACATACACACACACACACAGACACACACAGACAGACACACACACACAAGAAAACCCTGAAAATCATAATAAATCTGTCACATTAGAAAAAATTACCACTCTGTCCAATACTAAATTTTTTAGAATACACGGTTTAATGACTCTCATACTAATGATATAACACGAGCCATTAAAATAAAATTGATCTTCGAAAGATGTCAGTGTCACTTGGGTAGAACAGTAGAACACTGGGAATGTTATTAGCTCAGCTCCAGGCCCCCTCTATGGTCACAAGATTCCAGGGAGTCTCTGTAACAATTAGAATCTCTGTTCACATGGTATAAATTTCCTAATATAATTAAAACACAGAAGTAGCCTTAGTTCTAAACATGAGCACTTTGCACTGCACATGCCGGCATGCCACAAATCAACCATGAGCAAGAGTACTGCCCGAAACACCTTGGCTCAGATTCAAGACTAGTATGTCATGTTGTATTTTTACTATACAAAGTTTTCTACTCAAAGAAACTATTTAATTATAGAAAACATTGACTTGATATTTTCATTCCTCGATGTATAGAAAATTAGTGTATCTTTGGACTGCATTATGTCAGAATGTTTTTTTTTAATGCTGTTAAATTCATTTTTAAAAAAAAAATCATTAGGATTAAGGAAAATTTTCCAACAATTTTTAAAATGTGGCTGAAATGTGGGAGTGACTTTTACAAAAGGATGTATCTGGACTAATGACTTTTAATTAACCACAGCAAAACCATGTGCATAAGTCTTGTGACCTCAGCATCTGACCTAGGGAACGTCAATTAATTACTCCACCCAAAAAGATAATGAATGACTGAACCAGGAATGTGGGTATGCTTGAGAATTAACATATCAAAACTCTGAAAGGCAGCACTCCAGCTCAGTTGTTCACAGGGAAGGCAGGAAAGGACATTTAACCTTGGATGGAAGCTGTTCAGATTAGGGTGGAGCCGAGCTGGTACTTCTGGGTGGGGCCAGACTCAACACAGTTCTTCCATCAGCACAGTATCAGGAGACAGAGAGTTCCAAGAGACTTCTAGGGAAACAAGTTTCCTCCAAGTTCAGACTCATTCATAAAAGCTAAGACTAAACTTAAGAATCAGGCTATCTGTTCGGGTGATACTAATGCAGGCATAGTAACACCATCTAAATATTCATTTCAGTTTCTTGTTGTGGTAAAATACTGAGACAAAAGCAACTTCACAAAGGGTTCTGGCTCACAGTTCAGGTTGCCTTCCATGAAGGTAGGAAGGTCATAGCAGCAGAAGCTTGAAGCAGCTGGTTACATTACATCCACCATCAGAAGCAGACAGAAATGAGTGTAAGCACGCTAGTGTTCCGTTAACTTATTTCTATACATTTCCAGGATCTGATGCCTAAGAATTTAGGGGCAGGTCTTCCCACACCAATTAACATAATTCCCACAGACATGTCTGGAGGTCCACCTCCCAGGTGGTACTAACTTCGGTCAGGAAGACAACAGTAACCATCACAAATACACACACCATTTTGTACTACATATTTATGCAAAGCAGAATTCTCAATATTGACTATCAAAACCTTTTAACATCTATGGAAAAGTCTGAATCTAGGGGTGTAGCTCAGTGGTGGAATGCTTACCTAGCATGTATCAGACTCTGGTTTCAAATCCCTAGCACTGCATACAAAAACTCTGAAGATGCTCTATGTCCTGCAGTATCAGATATTCACCAAAGGTTTAATTCTTTATGCAAAAATAAGCACTTCCATCTCACCAGTATAGAAATTTGCTTGCCTTTAATCAACAGTAAAATTATATGTACACCAAAGAATTTGTCAGTAAATGTCTGATTTGTAGGTCCATTTTAAGTTGTTTTTAAATTTGATATGTGTGTGCATGTGCACAAGTGCCCGAAGACAACTTTTGGAAGTGAGTTTTCTCCCACACTACAGGATCTGGAGATCACCTCAGGTTTCGAGGCTTGCACAATAAGCACTTTCACCCACTGAGTCAACTTGCTAGCCTGTATATCCACTTTTGTATATCTAGGTTACATAAAAATTTCTCAAGCTAAAGGGGAGATCACAGAAAGAAAAAGATTAAGAATTCTTGCTCTAGATATCCGTGCAATCACTTCCACCCACCTATGTCAGACAGGGAATACACTTTCCGTGGTGACCAAGCAGACAGCCTGCTAAACACAAACCTTCACCTGTATGAAAGGTATCCTGTGATTGCTGAAAAACACTCCTCCGTATGTGTTTAGACTCACTCCTGTGTTGCCTCCCTTGGTGCTGGACCATTAGGCCCAATAAAAGGATTCACTTAAATGATCTTTTCTGGCCCACTTTTACAAAAGCAGGCTGAGCTGGTAACTTACACACAAAGACAGCAGCAGTGGCAGCAGACAGAAAAGTGGCCAGAGCAGCAGTGGCAGCAAGAGAAGCAGCAGCACACCAAGCTACAGAAGGCTGCAGAGCTTCTAGCTATTTTTGAGAGAACAGAGGAAGTGGATCCACCAACCAAATTGCAAAAGCAAGAAAACCCTGCACCTGTTTTGACTGCACCTGCTTTGACAAGGAGTAGATGCAGGGAGATGCAAGCACTGCCCAGCCTCACACCCTTACAGTTGCAGAAGAGGTGGGCCATGGGACAAGCACTGGTCAACAGCAGCAAAAGCAGCAACGGCAAAAAAGAGCAGTAGTAGCTGCCTCCCAACATGTGGCAGTCATGAAGTGGCCACAGCAAGTTGTAACAATGGCCACTGTGAAGGGCCATGGAAACCCAAAAGGTAGGTCCATAAACTACAGAGCTAACTGCCTAGTAAGGTTGAGGAATCTGGACCTTCTAGCCCTGCAAGAACTTTAACTGTAGAGCTAAGGGTACCAGAGCTTTAACATTTACGAATCAAGGACACCAGAACTGAAGGCCTGCACAAGAGCTATATAACACTAGAGGGTGCTACCTGCTGCTGTTACTGTAGTCTGTCAACCACTCACTGCTGTCCAACACCGAGAAACACACAAGCACTGAGTGCTCCCTGCCTGTCCAAAATTTCTCTCACATGAACCATATAAACGCCAGCAAGCTGATAGTGATACCAAGGTTTGAATCATATATTCTACCACTAAATACCTGTACTATGGAAATAGGTACTACCTCAAAGGATTCCTGTAATAAATATGTAACACAGAGTAAATAGGGTTTTAATACCTTATTATTTTTTGTGTATGAGTATACTGCCAGCATGTATGTAAGTGCACCCATGTTGTGCAATGCCCAAGGAGGTCAGAAGAAAGCATTGGATTTCCCTGGAACTGAAGTTACAGAGGGTTGTTAGCTGACATTTGGATGGTAGGAATCAAATCCAGGTCTTCTGCAAGAGCAGTCAGTGCTCTTAGCTGCTAAGCCATCTAATTACATGCCACTAAATATAACAGAGATAGGAACTACTTCATAGGATTCTTCTCGTTAATACGTAACAGAGATTAAGTAGTTTTTTTTTAAATTGCACACCATATGATAGGGTCTCAATAAATTATCACAATGGAAATAGAAAAGAACATTATCCCCCACCACCCAACTCTCTCTCCACTCTATTCTTTTACCACTCCCTACGTGATCTACTGCTATGCTTAATACAATGTCCTATAATTAATAAAAGGTCTAGTCCCTCACTTCACTAAGAGCTCTTAAGAAAACCAAAGGTTGGGGCTAGAGAGATGGCTCAGCCGTTAAGAGTACTGACTGCTCTTGCAGAGGACCCGGGTTCGATTCCCAGCACCCACATGGCAGCTACAAACCATCCTTAACTCCAGTTCCAGGGGAATCCGAAGGCCTCTTCTGAACTCCAGAGCATTGCATGACACAGATGCACTCACATACATGCAGGCAATTCACTTGTACACATAAAATAATTTTTAAAAAAAAAAAAAGGGCCGGGCATGGTGGCACATGCCTTTAATCCCAGCACTTGGGAGGCAGAGGCAAGCAGATCTTTGTGAGTTCGAGGCCAGCCTGGTCTACACAGTGAGTTCCAGGACAGCTGGTGCTACAAGGAGACCCTGTCTCAAAAAAGACAAAACAAAAAACAAAAAACAAAATACAAAGGTTATCTTATAGATTCCCTCCAGCTTATTATTAGCACTTGTTTAGCACAATTCAAGTACTAAGCAAATGTTTGTTACAGGATTTACATAAGAATGAGTGGAGCAGAATGGTTAGAATTGGAGAACTGACTATACTTCATGGCAAACACAACAGTGTTTTCATTTCTTATGCTTGC